GCATCAGGAAAAAAAATAATGATAACAATAAATTATATAAAAACAAAAAGAATCCATGTATCCAAAGTTAAACTAAAGAAAGGGGGTGGCGAGGATTTTTCATAGCAGTGTGTCAGCCTATACAGATAGAAGGAATAGGATTATAGAAAACCTCCTTTGTGTAATCATCATTGTAAATAATTAATGTAACCAAAGTAATCATTGGATGCTAAAACCACTAGGTGAAACTCTGAGATAGAGAATATTCACACATTTTCCATTTACCTCCTATGTAGATTTCTATGGATGGAAAAGAGAAAAGAAAATTTAATATAGAACAATCTATCAAATACCACTTTACCAAGTGATTGAATTGCATATCTCCAATTTGGGATAAAATGGCAGAATACATGCCTTCTGATATGATTCACAGTATGTAAAAATCATGAAAGAAAGCAGGATATGTTGTATACTTACTTACTACCACAAAAGAATGAGTTATTGCAGATTAATCAGAATTACTGTAAAATTCAGATTCTTATAATGTATTTGAAGAGGAAGCAAGTCAATATGCCAAAAACCAAATGTTCTAAAGCCAATTCACTGCAAATCAATCAGCAAAATGACTAAATTAGAAACTAAGTCTATTTGCCAATTTCCCAATATTAGCAATTTACAAAAACCTTGTTTCTTTTAACTATTTAAATAACATCTCGCTGAGTTTGCTATAATTTGTTATGGCAGCAGTAGGAAATTAACAGAGCCATTCTAGAAGAGCCATTCACAGCCAGAAGGCCAGTTGACCCCAAACACCTGAGCCATTACAGCCAAAATCAAGCAGATGATAAACCATCCTCTCCAATATAAATTGCTATAGAATTGATAAATAATAGGTACACTCTTTTGGTAAATTAAAACATTTGATCAATTTGTCAAATCAGTAATTCCACAAGATTTCAGCAAACTAAGCAAGGTAAGAAAAAAATGCTTCAAAAATGTGTTACTAAGAAAAATAAAAATTAAAAAAAAATTTTTTTAAATGTGTTACTTTCCTTAAAGTGCTAATAGATGTCATTCATTGGTTGGGCCACTGAATTGATAAAACTAAATAAAATATGCACAACTAATAAAAGAGTTTATGCCCACTGTTGCATTGCCTTCTGTACAGTAATAATTAATTAAATACAGCCAACACAGTTATAAAATTGGGGAAAATTCACCCAAGGCATCGTATATGAGTACTAGTGAAGCCTGGGGCATAGAATTGTGTGTGTGAGAGTGTGTGTGTGTGTGTGTGTGTGTGTTTCACAAAATGGCTGAAAAAGTTGTCAGCTCCTGCAGAGTATGTGCCAGTTGCCCAAAAATCAAAGAGTGTGTATTGCTTCAGGAAATATACAGCAAAGGCAAGAGAAGGAATTACTAAAAATATATTGTAAGGAGAAGATGAAAGGGAAATGAGGAAGCTGGGCACTCATGTCTGGAGAGATAAAACAAGCACAAAAGTGAACGCCTTCCCACTGAGAAATAAACCTAGACCCAATTACCATTCCAGTGCCCTGGGCCCTGGGACATAACCTTCTTTCCATGTTGTTAGCATGAAGTGGTTCCTGCTGAAGGCCACCATGTCCTAAACGAAAGCGGGGAGAAATGATGATCTCATAGGAAAGTGAAGCTGCAAAGAGCTGAAGAGCCTTCCTTCATCATGTCACGCACAAATGTGGCCACACACAGACACTGAATGCTAACATCTGAGCATCACATCCGGATGAAGTCCCATGGCTTTGGAGCTAACAAACACTGTAGTCAACACACCTCAGAAATGGTGACACGAATCCATGCATCCTTGTGGATCTTGGAATGATTCCCTTTCATTTTTAATGATAACAGTTCTTACATTTAACTCTGAACATATCCAAAAAACAGTCTGCTCATGTTTTGATGGAAATGTGTTTTATCTGCAAGCGATAAATACTTTTTTCCCAGTACCTCTTGAACCAAATCTTTCATGGTTTCCAGTGGATACAATGCAAAGTTCCAGAGCTTTGTAAACTTTTCCATAAACCACCTACAGTAATAGTCCTTTAAATACAGTCATGCTAGGGATATTAATTTTGTACTTCTTATCCAGAATTATAAAGTATACATGGATAAAGAGAAGCATGATGGGGAGAGAAAAGATTGGAAACAATAAACAAAAAGGTCATTAAAAATCATCACTTTTTATATTAACATCAAAGTTCATAGTAGTTGCAATTCTTAATATACATGCTCAAGCATTTATATAAGCTGGATTCAAAAAACATTAGTAAGTTTTACTCTTCCACATGGAGAAGGTCTAAATTAGAACAATTTGAGTATTAAGAACAATGATAATATGCAGTGCAAAGATAAAACCTATGGATTATCTTGAAATATCTTCTTCTGAATTGATATCACTATTTTCATTTCCTTTAGAAACTTAGCTAGTATATAAAAAACCTTCCCAAAGTACCTAGCTGTGTGACTTCATGCAAGTAACCTAACTACTCTGGGCCTTAATTTTAAAATGAAGGAAAAACCCTAGAAACTGTTTTATTGCTAACATTTTATGGCAAGGTAATAATTAAGTTTATTTTGATGTGATTTTCTCTTCACAGAGTTTGCTGTTGTTTTGTTTTATTTTGTTTTTTGAGACAGGGCCTCACTATGTGGTCCAGGCTGGCCTCAAACTCATGGTGATCCTCCTGCCTCTACCTCCCAAGTGCTGGGATTGCAGGCATGCACCACCTCGTCTGGCCATCACAGATGTTTTAAACCCACACTTACTTCTATTGAATATATTCTTAGAATAGTTAAAAATAAATTTTACCCAAAGGCAAGAAATTTCTAATTCAGTCATAAGTTTTTTCTTGGCATATTTTCTTAATTTTATTTTTTACAGTACTTTGTAACATGTTTTGGTTCATAATTTTAAACTGTTGAATTAACCCAGATTTTTAAGGCTAGTGGCGCACAATCATTATGAAAGCTTTTGTGTGACAATCTCTAGGCACGCACAGTAGCACTTTTGCACTTTCCTCATCCCCCACAGCCCTGCGTTCACCACCACTCCCACCCAAGGAGTGTGTTCTTGGAGGAATAGGAAGGCAGGGAAGAACAAAAGCATGTGTCCACTCCATTGTTAACTGTGACTAGCTGACTTGGCTTCTTCCCCAAGAAGGTACATGCTTGACACCACACACAACCCGGAACATGCCCCTCTTGGCATCTCTATGATTTAATAGACTTGGGGCAGAACTCACATATTAAATTCCCCAGGTGATTTTAATGAGCAGCAATAGTTAAGAAGTGAAAAGGCTTGAGGATTATGTCCTTTCTAAACTCTGCAATTTGAGTTGGGGCAGAGCAGTGGTGTTGGGACATTTCTTGGTAGATCCTATCCCCACCATAAATCTGTTGCATTTGGATATTCAAATGCTTCTCTTACCTCCTCTACAAGTTTGTGAGCCATTTTCAGTGTTGGCTCCTTGCCTTGTACATCTCTCCATCCCTCACAGTACTTAGCACAAGTCTTTACATCTAACAAGGCTTACACCATATTCCGATTAAAATAAAGATGAGTACTGGGAATTCTTACCTTGGCAGCTAGGTGATTAGAATAAGTCAATAGTGGAAATGTCAAGTTATTTCCCATGTAAACCCACACACACAAAAGACCAATCACATTTGAAATAGTTCTAATATTGATAAATCTTCAGAAATAAGATGAAAGTTATCAATTATCAAGTGTCTGGAATATAATTATTCCTGAAATACATATATTATCCTGAAACCAGTTATATAAATACAGGCCCATTTTTCTTTTTCAAACAATGGTAAGAATGTTTGCAAAAGTGTCAGTATTTGAAAAATATTAACAGTACTTCCTATATTATTCAGCTATTGCTAAGTTCCTAAGTGGAAAAAGTCATTCAAAAAATATGTGATAAATGCCAAATATATGCAAGTCACTTTTATGGGTAATAAGTATGGAACAATTACCAAATAGCTTTAGGGAGCTCACATTCTAGAACACAGGAGAGTTAATTGATTATTTGATTGCATTTTAAATGAATTCTATGTAAAAAAAAAAAAAAAAAAAGCATATAATGATTTGAATTATATAGCTGACGACCTAACTTACTCGTGGGGTCAAGGAAATGACATTTAAGCTGAGCACTGAAGGGTGGATAGGAAATAACCTGGAGAGAAGTTAAAACATTGTGGCATGGTAGAAAGACCCAACAGGCAGCAGGAATGTGAAACCCACACTAAAACCAGACAGCAAAGAAGGAATGGTGTAAGATGACTCTGGTAAGGTATCATTGGGACCTTAGCAAAAGCTTTGATGTACCTTAAGAAACAATGTGAAATCATAGGACCTGAGGTATTGCTTGGTCGGACTTATATTTTCAAACCACTTCAGCTGCAGTGAGGTGAGTAGATGCAATTGGGAGTGGGGAAATTGAAGAAAGACACCATCACAAAGGCTGCACAAGTAGTGAAGGTGAAAAGGATTGTATCTCCAATTAAGACAGGTGACACTGGACACATTGGGCTCAAAAGCTATTTAAAGCCAAATCAACAAGATTTGATAATAACCTGTATATAGGGGTGAAGGAGGAGGAGTTAAAGCTGATTCCCCAGAGCTCTGGAGTGGCCCCCTGAGAAACTACACATTGGTGCAGTTCACAAAAGGAACTCATGGAAAGGTCTGGCTTTGAAGGAAAAGTAATAAAATCATTTGAGAGATAATAAAGTAAACAAGTACTTGTCAATAGCTCTGTTCCTGGCCCTATTCCAGGTGCAATCCACTATCAAAGATATCCACATCTACGTATTAATTTCCCAATGTCTCATAGCAAGTCCATGAGATAGGTTCTATACATTCTCCAGTTTACTGATGAGCAAAAGGAGACACAGGGAACTAGTAATAATTTGCTCAGTCACCCAGCTAGTAAGTCGCAGAATCCCTCAACCACGGCATTCAGCAACCTACTTACATTGAGTTTGAGGTCTCCAGGAGGTTTCAGAGTAGATTTATCAACCCACTACCGGATTCATAGACATCTGAGGGAAAAGAAAGGAAAAAATAGAAGTCTGGACTGGAAAAGTCATTACATAAGAGAACATAAGTTTGTGTTTCAGAATTAAGAGCATTACTTTATTTCAATTGATCCTTGGAGACCAAACACCCTTTCACCAGAAAAAAAAAAAAAAAAGTGAAATAAAGCAGTTTAATTTTTGAACCCTTCCCAAAGGATTTTCTTTTTTGCTCCAAGGAAGACATCAATGCCATAGCACTTTAGTTATAACAGTTTTCCCCTTCCCTTTATTTATGTGGTGTGGGACTCAAAAAATATAGATTCCCTTTTCCAGTTTCCCTTGTAATTAGTTCCTGTGCTTTTGGAAAAATCACTTTACCAGTGTGAGGCTCCAATAATTCATCTATCAAATTAGGACTGTAAAAGATGCTTTCACATAATGCTTAATTTTTATAATGCTTAGATGACAACACAAATACTGGACCAGGCACTATATGTCTTAACTTCTGTATTATACTATCCTGCCACGTGGCCTCCCGATGAATATGTTATTACATGGATATAATATAGTTTTCTTACTTAATATTAATTGATGCAGGGGCCTCACAAGTGCATATTAATTGATGCGGTTGTAAGAGAACATAGATTGAAAAGGGGAAGAGAAAACAATTTCCACTCTATTTTTGGCAAACCTTCAAGACTCTTCACATGAGACTGAAGGATGTTTGGACAGAGTGATGAGAAGGAAAATGCTCCAGAATGAGGAGGGGTGTGACTACCTTAATTCTTACACTCAGATATTTGGAGTACTTAGAGTTCTTTGTGTAAAAAATGGGTATGTATTTCACCCACTGGTACCATAAAACAAACTTAAGGGCATGTGGCTTGTACTGACTGGTTCCTTACCATTTGATTTAAGGTCATAGGGTAAGATTAACCTTCCCTGTAGGAAGGCAAGTCGTATTTTTTCAAAAGAGAGAGCAAGAGATTCTGCAAGATCTTCTTAAGTGCTTTTAAAGCAAACATTTGAATAACAGCAAGAGAAGCTCACTTTTTAAAGTTGGGGCTTTCCATTTTGTCTTTCACTGAATGTTTATTCACCAGCATGCTAAAATTACAAATTTTTCATCAGACTGTTATTTAAGGGCATAATCAGTGCTTACAATGAACCAGTGGTTTGGAAATACAGCTTAAAAAAAAAAAAACAATAATTCATGGATGTCAAAAAGCTGCCATGCTAGGGAGGGAAGTTAAAAACTACATGTATACTGTGTATTTTTAAAGCCTTGATAACTGAAAATAATTTTGTTTTAATCTATTAACATTCGAAATCAGAGTCACACAAAAGGGGAAAAGTGAAAGTAGAGAAACTGGAAAAACAAAAGAAGGAAAGAATTTATTCATTTTAGCACAATGACTACAGCCAGTCTGAATCATTCTTCCTTTGCATAAACATTCTAGAGTTGTAAGAATGACTCACACCCCCAACATCAGATTGAAGGACAATGAAAGGAGGTTAATATCTCTAAAATATTGAGCATGTTGCTAATTTCCCCTAACAACTGAACACAAGTTAACAGTAAATTCAGTGAAATACATCTTTGTAGTTTGAAAAACATTGGGTTTTAAAGGTTGAGATCAGCTAGGCATAGTGACATACTTATAATACCAGCATTCTGGAAGGCTGAAGCAGGAAGATTGCAAATTAAAGCACAACCTGGGCTGCTTGTGATTCAGCAAGACACTGTCTCAAAATAAAAAAGAAAAAATAAAAAAGCTGGAGTTGTATCTGATGGTGGAGGCCCTGGGTTTAATACCCAGTACTGAAAAACAAAATATTGAAATCAATTATATGGGCCTCCATTCACTATTTATAAGCTTAGTATAAACTACATTTTTAAAGTAACACTACCTGGGCAGCTAAAAAGTCCTGAGTTGTTGGGCAAACTTTGAGATTGCCAGTCTGTCTATTCTATGGGTCCCTGGTTTCCAGAGCCCATGGAGTCAGATGAAGCCCAAGAGAAAAAGAAAAATGCCTGGAGCCATTTGTGTAACTAACCTTTTCAGAGCTGACTTTTGATTAATGAGTTATGCCCATTTATATAGAAACAACAGCAGCAATGGCCACAGAGATGAGCAGCCAATGGACTATCAGAATTACCAATTTCCTTTCCGGAAGATGACTGGAGCCAAAACACTGACCTTTCTATAGGGTGAGAATTATGGTTTAGTTCTTGAATGTTCCCCAAAAGTCTCATGTGTTAGAAAGATGATCGCACTATGGGGCCCTATACTGATCAGTAGATTCATCCATTGATGAGTTCAGTAGTTCATAAATTATTCAGAGTTGGGGCCCGGATGAAGAGGTAGGTCACTGAGGACATAACCTGGAAAGGTATGTTCTTGTCCCTGATTCCTCTCTTGTTCCTTCCTCCTCTGCTTCTTGGCTGCCAGCATTGAACAGCTTTCTTCCATCACACAACTTGTGTCTTGGAGCCAATTGACTGTAGACTAACCTGTGAGTCAAAATAAACCTTTACTCCTTGAAGCTGTGAATCCCAGGTATTTCATCCCAATGAGAGAAAAGTGATTAATGCAGGAAGCTGGTACCAGGAGTGGACTCATTGATGTGACAGTACCTGACTGTGGTGTTTAGAAACTTTTGGAACTGATTTGTGGAAAGAATTTGAAAAGGTTTGGAGATGGCAGCTAGAGAAGTCTTAGAATGCCCTAGGCGGAGTCTGATGGATAATTCTGGTCCAACCTCAGAAGACTAGACTGCTGATGGAAATGCAGACAGTAAAGACCAGGTTCAGGAGGTTTTAGTTATGAACAAGAGCTCCATTGGCAACTGGACCTGAAGTCGTGTGTGTTATACTCTGGCAAAAAGTTTGTCTACATTTTGCCCTTTTCCTAAGACTTTGTGTGATAATGAATTTAAAGATGATAGACAATTAATCTGGTGGAGGAAATTTCAAAGCTCCGAAGTGTTCAGTCTGTGGGTACTACTGGCTGCTTTTAGCCAGATCTACAGTGAGACTCAGGAGCAAGAAAAAGAGGTTAAAAGTTTCCAATTTCACCAGAAAGGAAGCATCTGAAGAGCTATGGACAAAGAGAGCATGGTTGATAAAAAGATTGGTGTTAAAAAGAAGTCAAGTACTTTGCATCAGGACAATAGGAAAGATGGTTGAAAAGCATCCCAGAAATTTGCCAGACCTCACCTTTCACAGGCTCAAGGGTATAAAAGGGTAAACTCCTATGATGGTTTAGATATAAACGTTCCCCTAAAGCTTCATGCACTCATAGGTAGGGTTTTGGGGAGGGGGTGATTGGATCATGGGATTATTGCTAGCTAAATGTGATTTGGGAAGTGAAACCTGGTTGAAGGAGGTGGGTCACTGGGGGTCTGGCCTGGAAGGATATATCTCCCTCCTTCCTTTGAGCATTCTCTGCTTCATTACTATGCCATGAGCTGTTTTCTCCTCTACCATGACCCTCTGCCATGCCACCCTGCCTTGGAGCCAGTTAACTATGGACTGAAACCTCTACAAATTATGAGCCAAAATAAACCTTTCCTCCTTGGAGTTGTGGGTGTCAAGTATTGTGTCTCAGCAATGAGAAAGTAACAAAGACAACTCTTTTGGAAGACTTTACTTTGAGAAGAGAGCCCCAGTGCATCCTACTCACCCAGGGCCACAGAGTGTACTGTTTCTTCTAGTTCAGTCATCCATGCACTCAGAAGCTTCAGCCATCATGATCCAAGGGGGCCAAGCTACTGCTCAAACTGATGGCTGAACTTTATGTTATCTACATATCTGCTGGTTTTTCAGGCATCTTGCAATCAAAAGTTATGGGATCATAGGGGCTTCGATCTAGATTTCAGAAGCCCTGAAAGGCTAGGCAAAAATGTGTGACAAAGTCATAGTCCTTACCAGGAACACCTGAGAGGATGATACTTGAAACTGTTGAAGAGTAAAACCAAAGGCACAGTGGAGACCTGAGAAAAATGGAAATGCCAGGAATATGTAACATTTGCTGAGGGAAACCACCGATACCAGGTAGAATCTGCCCAAGAGGGAGGCCATAGGGTATCTTAGTTACTTTCTCATCCCTGAGACACAATACCTGATACAACTTAAAGGAAGTTAAATGATATTGGTTCACAGTTTATAGATGTTTTAGTCCATAAGACACAATACCTGATACAACTTAAAGGAAGTTAAATTATATCGGTTCAGTTTATAGAGGTTTCAGTCCATAGTCAGCTGGCTCAAAGGCAAGGTGGCATGGCAGAAGGATGTGGCAGAAGAGAAACAGCTTATGGCATGGCAGGCAGGAAGCAGAGAGGGATCAAGGATAAGGGAAGAAGATACACCCTTCCACACCATACCCCCAGTGACTCACCTCCTTCAACCAGGTTTCACCTTCCAAATCACATTTAGCTATAAACTCATCAGTGGGCTAATCCACTTATGAGTATCACACATTCATGATCCAATCACCTCCCAAAAGCCCCACCTATGAGCACATGAGGCTTTGGGGGGACATCCAGATACAAACCATAACAATGGGCTACAACCAGCAAGACCGTAGGGTCCAAGTTTCCGTAGCTGTTTGGAGATTATTTCTCACCATACCCTGCACTGGGTGCTGGACATGAAGCTACAAGATTTAATGCTTGCACAGCTGGGTTTCAGTCTTGCTTTAGTCTGATTGATTCCTTTCTATTCCTCTGTTCCTTCCTTTTAGAATGGGAAAATTTACCTTGTAACATTATACATTGGAAGTATTTAACTTTTTTTTCCACAGGAACTCACAGCTGAGAGTTTGCCTTTAACCTCAGAAGACTTTTTGGACTTAGACATTTTGGCAATGCTTGAATTGTTAAGACTGGTGACTCTTAGAGATAAGTAAATTCATTTTACATAGTGAAATGGACATAAATCTTGGGGGTCAGGGGCAGAATGTTATGATTTAGATATAAATTGTTCCCCCAAAGTCTTATATGTTAGAAAGATGATTGGA